ATAAAAAGGGGGAGGGGAGGGAGATATATACCCAGCATTTCCAAATATTCCACGTATCTTTATTTACTCTTACGATAGAATCTTGTTTAATCAATTGATTAAGGAAAATTGCTATAGGATGGAAAATTGTATTGGTCTCTTGAAAAGGAACGAATAAACAGAGATGTATTTTCGAATATTCGACATATTCGTCGATATATTATAAACAAGCTGAGAGGAAATAATTAAAAACATATTTGTACGCATTCTAATATAACAATTATGGTAAATGCGAAAGGAGGATGGACCCGATTAATCGAGACTCTATTATATAACGTACAAAACCCTTCTGTATAATTGATATTCGAATAGATATTCGAATGAATATAATCGTTTTAATCCGAAAGTATTGTTAATAAATGTTGGATAGAAAGCAAAATGGAACGAACGGGAAACAGAGCATACGAGCGCGTAACAGTGAAACCCTCTAAATAATAGTTTCGTGCTGAATCCCTTTAATGTTTACTGCTTGTTATTGCATTTCATTAATTTCCTATTTTGCTTTCCTACTCTCGCGTTATTACCCGTGAACACGATTCGATAGAAGAAAGGAAAAAAAGAATATTGGCGAAGAAATAGAAAAAAAAAAAAAAAAAGAAACGGGCAGATAATCTTGAATATTCGAACGGGAATGAAAGAAATTTTAAACGAACCTGCGAATCGAATATTTTCACGCAAAAGAATAGCAACTGCGTCGATTTTAAATTAATGATCAACGATTTTTCTTTTTCCTTGTTGATTTCCTTTTTTCCCGTGTCTTCCAATGTATCGAACGTACATCAGCATTATGGATTCCTCGTCATGGAAACTCTACTTCATGCATTACTAAAAAGATCCATTTGATAGGCCGTCATTCTCATTGAGTGGAAAGTAATTCTTTACCGGCAACCGGGATGAAAATCAGAAGAAAATATCAAACCTTTTAGCCGTGGCTCTAGTATGAAAAAAAGAAGAAAAATTAAAGGTAATAAATTTCCTTGGGGGTCGATAGGCTGACGTTAAGTCTAAGATAAAAAAGTAATTCCGTTCTCCTTAATATTCCGTCCCATTTTTTCTCAATATTTCTCTTTCGTCATGACCGATCACTAAACCTTTCGAATATTTAAAAAATCGACCGGTCAAAGATGTAAAGAAAACAGGAAGAATAATAACAAAAAAAAATGGTCACAATTTTCCTAACAATTTTCATTAGGGAAGAAGAAAAGAAAGAAACTGTATCGTAAAAACTTAAATAAGAACATCGAAGATTATTCTCTGGAAAAAGAAGAAAGAAAAGGGAGAAGAAAAAAAAATACTTGCGATGAATTTTAATTCCTCCTCCTACACGTACACATGTATCTAACAACTTTTACGTGGTTTCGCGAGTTTTCTAATTAACACCGTTCCAAAATGAAACGCGAGCAACGTGACTTATTAAACATAATCAATTTAACGTAAGTTTCAATTCGAAAGAAAAATAATCAATGTCGAAAAGGAGCACAAAGGAAGGGAAAAAACGAGAAGGCGTAAGTTGAAAGAAAGAAAAGAAAAAAAAGAAGGAAGATGAATACCGACGTAGAGAGAAAGAATTTTACGTTTCACCCTTAAAGTTCTGCACGTTACCGCTGTCGGGAAAGAAAACGGATTCGTGACATCCAAGTCGGCTTTTCCACTTGATGCTTTTCTCCTTCCTCCCTTCCACCATCTTCCCTTTGCGACTCTCTCTTACTTTTCGCTTGCTATTATCTAACTCATTTGTTCGTCACGTTCGTACATATAGAAGGTACATTTGCATCTTCAGAGCTCCCGACTCTACGTTTAAATTTGCATGAGCGACGTATCCGTAATTTAGTATCACAAGTTTCATACATTCGGGCATAAATTATACATATACGATGAATAAATATATCGCTAAATGCGAGTGCCAGTCATCTTTATATACAATATATATCGATATTCGAATTAATATTTAAAGGATAGAGAATTAAAGATGCACACAGATGTTGAATTTTTCATTCAATTTTGATTTGGAAATAAAGGAGGATAAAAGTGATTAAATATGGCTACGTGTAATGTCGATTAAAATTATTACTTTCTTTTCTTCAATGATGGATTAGCACAAAGTTTTAATTAAGCTTTACGTTAATGGATGTAAGATAAGCTTGTAAGCAATTTAATGGATGTAACTGTTGTAATTTTTCCGCTTTCCACCGTCACCCTGCCCCCATAAAAATCATAAATTATCTTTTGTGAGAGACGGAAAAAACGTTTATATTAACGTTTATATTAACGTGAAACACATCTTGATAAATTATTTCCTTATATATATATATGTCCATAATTAAGATTGAAATTTTCCATTCTTTTTTAAATTTCTAGCATGGTTAAATTAAATGCGAAGTCTTAAACCTTTTTAAAGTTTTCTAAGATTTAGAAGAAAGTGAGAAGAGAAATATAAACGATAATAAAAATCTCGAGAGATTTTCTGGAGTCTTTACTTTTCTAATGGTCCGTAAAAGTAGGAAATTTTAATCCGGTGATCAAAGCGATCGGTAGATCGAAAATATCCTTAGGAAAACGCGATAGGATTGTGATCGCTGATTGAATATCCAAATCGATCTTTACACGGACGAATAGATTGCACGATGAAAAAGTAGCCTTCGATAAACCCATTTCGTAAAAAGTTCTATCGAAGAACGAACGAATAACGAACCGTGACTGATTCAATGATATACGAATTACTTTTTATACCTGCACCGTTTAATTATTTTATCAATACCGTTATTAACATTTTAATAAAATATTACTTGATAACATGTGGCTTTGGTAATAATAAATTTGCACTTTTTCTCACTTAAAGACAAATCACGATTTAGTCGATGGAATAAATTAGTTATCTATCTCTTTTCAATTCGATCGAACAGGTGAAAAATAGAGGTGAAAATTCACGACTTTCGACAATTTTAAACTTAATTTCCTCCGCGTGATCATTCTCTGATATATACGCGAACGGCAATAAAGAAGGGTGGCAAGTAGGCACCGAAGGCGATCGTACAAACAGTGCCAATTTAATCTCCATTCTGCGCGCGACAGCTGAAACGATCCTCCGCCCACCGAGTAGTCGTCTGGAGCAACCATAGCGTGAAACCGCGATAATCTCAATGTCCATTTACCCCGATCCCATTGTCGGCCATTGCAAACGTCGTAAAGACCAAACACCAACACGCTTTGAGGCGATTCTTTTTTTCCTTTTCTTTTTTTAAACGTTTCACCAAACGCTATCTATTTTCTATTCCTTCTCATTTTCTGCAAAATTCGTATCTAATCCTCGGAAATGAATTCATTTCACAGATGGATTTGGAAAGGACGAAGCAAGATTCAAATATAATTATCACGTGTTCCCAAACTTTCTTCGTTCTCGGTGATCAAAAGTATATTTCCATTCTAATTGCAAATAAATTTTGAAACAGATGAAATGATAGATATAATTTCGACTAGAAATTGAATATTTTATTTAGTTTAAACGTTCGAATTTCTTTTGTTTCACTCATTAAAAATTTATAATATCAATTTTGATTACAATTTATTTTGTTTAAAATTTTCTGGATAACGAATGAAAAATATATACTCTAAAAATTTGTACAAAACGCGTTAATAAATTTCTTGAAAAGACAACCATGAAATTAGCCAATAAATAACGAAAAACAGAAAGAGACGTACATGTATTATATGTCATAAAATATCATGTAAAAATATCATGTAATATTTTTCCCAAATTTTCCAAACAATGAAATCCTACGCACAACATACGTACATATGCACGCACTTTTGACTGAACTAAAAAGAATTAAATTTCGATATTTTAATCCTCATTCCAATCAAATATCACTGATCAGAACTCAATCCAGAATAAATCATCGAGCACCAAAACGAAAATAATCGAAGCTGAAAAAATATATTCAAAATGCCACCTATTATTAAAAAATCAGCAAAAACAAAAACAGCAGATTGAAAACGATTGATTTATCTAGGCGTTAATGTTGTGAAGATCGACAAATAGCAAAATTAAACGATCAACACTCATCATATTTCATTGTTAGAAAATCGAAAGCAATCGAAAAAACAGATTCTCTTTACTCACTCGAAGATTGGATCGAGTCTTCAGACGAATGTGAAAAAAATAAGAGACTATGGTTCTTCGAATAAATTACTAGCTCACTGAACACTGAAATAAATTTCCACAAACTCGAAAGATATAAACAATCTCGGCCCGTTCGTTCGATTACGTTTCCAGATATAACATTTACGTGTAGACGTAGTTTAACTGCTTCATTATGCAAAACCTTTCGCTATCTTTTCCCTAAATAAGTTTGGGCGCCGTGTTAACGTCCGTTCTCTTGCAGCGAGCTGCTCGTTGCTCGTTTAGCCCTCGGCCGCCTTAAAATAACGCTAATCTCGCCGTTCCCCAAACTAATACGGCCGGGGAATATACTCGGCCGCTTAAGGAAACTCGGTACAGAGAGTCTCGTGATCGTTTGCGCCCAACTACGAAAACGTATTTCACACTGGAAATGGATTCGACCCATTGCATTCCCCTTTTTGCATAAAGTACCTTGGAAACTTGTGCTCAAGTATCGTAATGTTCGAGTTTAACGTTCTCCGACTAACTGGCAAAGGAAAGGTCGAACCGATCCTTGCGTAGATAGAAAGATTCGCCCAATTAATCGCGTTTAATACAACGAGAAATGTTACGAATATCAATATTTTCAAGCAGTAGTTCTTCATTATTCTTTATAGCTCGTGTTTAAAGTGAATAAAAAATGAATTTCTATCGATACAAGTGAGACCAATAATACGAAATGCAAAAAAAAATAACTAATTACAATGCCCGAATCGAAACTAAAAAAATAGAAAATCTGCAAGACTATTCAAGGAGGAGGAACGGTTAAAAGAAAAAGAAAAAAAGAAAAGAAAAAACTTACGATATCGTTCCAGATAGAGCACCGTGGGCAGATAACAGCACATGCCGTTATCGCCGTGCACGTGGGCGTACATGTCTGCTAATTAACAGACCCAAGGTACCCCGCAGGTAACGCGCACGTGAAAGTGTTGCCGTGAATGCTTAACAGAACGATTCTCCTTTGTCAATTCGCCGACGATCCTTTACCTATTAACCGGAACACCGGTTAATCGTGGTCGGGGAAGCGTGTGTCCACCATCGATCGATCGATCGATCCAATAATCTCCGATGGATCGAGATTACAAATTGACAGGGCCCACTCGCGCTATTGTACGCAAATAACGCGGATCGATTATCACCGACAACCGTCTCGATCCGCTCGTTAAAACACCTTTTCCTCTTCCGATCCTACGAGCTTCGCTCCCCTCCTCGTCCGCTCTTTCCAATCACCAGCCAACCAAGAACACGGTTAAGTACGTGGCCGACCGTCTGCGAAATTTCGTCCACCGATTTTAATTGAGAATTCGAGGATTTGATCTCGACGCGGAACTTTTACAACCACCATCGCCAACCACCACCACCATCACTTTGCTCCGTCAACTCGTTCCGCCAGGAGAAATTCGAGAGTAAACCGAGAGGAGTTCCAGTTTCGCTCGATCGCGATCCTCTGCGCTGATCTCTGCCTGAGATAAATTCAACGTGGAGAAATTAAATCTGTATTCCAGACGGACACGGAGGGGGCGGTGCGAGCGTGTATCCGCTTCATCGCAACTTTCCTCTTCTTTTCCTTTTTTTTTTTTTTGTTTCGAAAATTACACGCGACAGAAATGTCAAACTCCGCGGTCGTTTTTAACGCCTGAGTTTTTTAACGGCGAGGAACACGAGGCGATATGTAATACACCGTCGGTTTTCCGTTTAATCCTCTCGCACGACAGACATTTTCAGACCAAAGCTCCGTTTATTCTCCAAACCGAATTTTTTTTCGATCGATAATTTCGTTACGGGGATTATTACCTCGATCCAGTAACCTCGTATAAAACATAACGCTATAATTCGTTGTAACGTGGGCGCGATGCTATCCGATAACATTGATAAATAATCTCCTCATGACTGAGCCGAACAACGCGAACAACACTTTGAAAATACGCTGCTCGATCGAACGAACGGTTGAATGGAATGATTTACGCGTCTGTTTTGCTCTTCCCACGTTTCTCCCGTTTATCGATTAAGCATATTAATCAGCCACGTAACTTGAAGGCGGCGCGTATCTATGCGAAAATGGAAAATAGAATCGATACGGTGAATTCGAGTTACAGTTAACGCGATTTTCCCGAGAGGCTGGTTATGCAATTGCACGGAAAATGGTCGCAGTCAAGTGCATTCATGATGCCAAACACGCGCACGTGACTGATCCGCCTAAACCAGACACGCGATTTATTTGCGAGGTGAACACTTGTCAACGAATTAATTGCACCCCGTTTATGACGATTTCTGCGCTTGTTTGTTTCTTCTTCCTCCTCTTTCAACTTTTTGAATTTATTTTTATTTCATTTCATTCTTTTTTTTTTTTCTATTTAGCATATTCGCGTTTATTCATCTCAAATTTCGGTATCAAAACGATATACGTTGCAATTAGAATTTTCAGAATTTACAAGAACTCATTGATTCGATCAATTTCCATTTCCAGGTTATCGAATATCGAAATTTCACTATTCGCAAAAATGTATTAATTAGTAATTAACCGGTATCGATCGATTAATATAACATTTCGCTCAATGTATTATACATCCTCTGTGACGGTGTAATTTTTCGAACGATTTTTCAGCCCTTTTTTTTTCTATTCAATCGAAACAACGATACGAGAAATTGCTGTTTAAAAAAAGAAAAGAGAGAGAGGAGGAGAAAAACGAGATTAAAAAAGTTCTTCTTTCACTTGGTTAAATATCGATGTTAATTATCGAGTTGGTTTAAAGGGCAGTTTAGATCCATGGAGCCCTTCGAGTTTAATTGTTATTCCGGTTGCCACGAAACGTCGAATTTCTCGCAACTTCCGCTCCGTAAATATTAACTCCCGTAAACGACAAACGACAAACTTATTCAATGAAGCATCGCACGCCATCGTGACGCTCGGATCGACGATTAACAGACTAACGCCGTTAATCACGGGAGGACAATGGCATTCAAACTCTAGAATTCCATCGAGCACGCGACACGACGAATTTCACGTTACCGGCCTTATCCCTTTTATGCTTGCTTTCTCGGCAACGTTAGGAAAAATTCGATCGTTTTTGGGATCGAGATGATAAACGACTAATACGGCCGAATCCTTGTTCGATGTATCATCGGAAAATTTATCCCATAAATCTATTTTCGATTTTTATTAATACGTAGTAGCGAACGTTTCACGTATACGTCGATCGTTTAATTTTTCACGAGCGTAAGAAGAGCGAAACGATCGATTAGACGTTTAAATATTTGTTGATATTATTTGTTGTTCGCCTCTCCTTCAAAATTGTTCTAGAATATTACACACAGTGCCATAAATAATTCACATGCTCCCGAAAAACGAGTTTTTGATAAACATGCGAACGGTAACGCGCATAGTATAGCGTGTGCGTTATCGAATATAATGGTACGATGATTTATTCATGACGTATCTTAGGTGGAACAACTGGTAAATTTTTACGCGGCACATTAGAGAATTATACATTAACGTGTTAGTCGCCAGACGATTTTAACACATGCGGTGGCACTGTTCTCCAAAGTTCCAAATATCAAACCTCTACCGCGAATCGTTCATCGCGCACACAAGAAACTTGTTAAACTCGAAATTCATTTCGTCGAAACGGAGCATTGATGTTCAGAAAGTCACGAATAGGGAAACCTTCCCCCCTCGGTATTTTCAATATTCACCGTGAAACGTGTGTATATCGATAACATCAAAGCGAAAGTATCTGGCTCGAAAAATCAAGATCGAAAACAAACACACGTTCGATTAAATGATGCAACTCGAACGAACTATCCCGATGGACATCGAAGAAATTCATTTTCGAGGAGGGGAAAAAAAACATCACCACTACCACCACCACTACCACCAACCAACGAATCGAAATATTTCTCTTTCGCACTTTGATCCCTCAACAAAATTTTTGATCGACTCGACTCGTTATCCATCCAGAGAAACACGCACCATTAATTTTCCTTAATCGACACATTTCACAGAGAATTTAACAGGAGGAGAATGCACACGTCGAACGCACGTCGAATTTACATTTTCCTTTTTCTTCTCTCGTCCTTGCGAAAATTATCGAACCAATTGAAGATCTTGGAACCAACTTGTTAAATCACCACTTGTTAAATAAAATGTAATCGCGCAAACTTTGATTAACACGTGACGTCGAGGAGCGTGGACGACAGCATTCTTTGCGCGACGTTCCGTGGTTACTTGGAGAGGAAAAGCGGAGAGGCGACGCACATGGAACGCCCGCTCGGAGCGGCTTTAACCCGCTGACTGCCGGAGTCGCCCCTTTTCCAACCCCTTGACTCGTCCCGGACCGCCTCCCAAACCCACCTCCCTGTCCTCCTCCACCTCCTCCATCCCGCCAACTTCATCTACGACCTCTACCTTTGCCCGTACCTTCGCCAAATCCTTTCCTCCTACGAGCGTGCACGTATACACGCGCGCACCTATCGTGCCAAGTATTCGTGCGCCTTTTCATTTCTCCCATTAATAACGCGGGCCGTCCCTGCCTCCAGAGAGGGGGGAGGGGAGAGAGAAAAAAGAAATTGGCGACTTGGCGGACTGCTACGCTCTTTTAAATAATTTCTTCGGCTTGGAAATAATTAGCAGGTTAACGTTCCGGGGATTGAAACGCGCGTGGGACAAATATCGGGGCGAGAGAAACGATTTTTAATCGTTTTCAAGTTATTTCAACGCGCTTATTAACCGTTCGTTAACCGGGCTTTGTGGGTATTTGATGCCGAGTCAAGCGGTAGAGAAGTGGTGGTTGAGCGAATATGAGATGTCTCTGTTTGCGAGTGATACTAGAACTAATATAATAATTTGTAATAAGTAAATATTTTGGTATTCAGTATTAAATTGATCGTAATTGAAACGATATAATGAAAAGTAAATAGGTGCAATGATTTATGATTTTATACCGAAGAAATGTGATATGAATTTTTGAATATCTTCGTGTTTCTTTTTTTTTTTTTTTTTTGTAGTAATTATGAAACGAAAAATGCGATATCCATTAGTTGTATTGTTAAAACGTTCCATCCAGAATTTCTTCGTTTTTAAAAATACTTTCGACAGAATTAGAAAACTGTATAAAAGTTTTTTTAAAACTTGTCTAAAAACAATCTAATTTATTTGCTCTAACAAGGAAGTAACGATTAACGATTGAAATAACAAAATCAGATTTTTTTAAACGCAGCGCTTTTGAAAAAAAAAGTCGATTCAATTATAAAGAATTCTATTAAAAGCATTATGAAACGTGACTGTTCGATAAATTTCTTTATACATTTGTATACATGCGAGAGTTAACGGGATTTAAATTTTCCTGTTTGAAATTAACCTAGTAAGTAGTATTATACGGTACTTGGTCAGACATTAACAGGTAAGAGAATTCATTGATACGAAACACTCGAATTCCATTCTTTCTATTCCTTTTGTTTCCCTTTTTTGTTTCCCGTTTTATTCCTTTCGACCCGTTACTTTTCCGCAACATTAATGGATAGCATTTTTACAACACGGTTCGGATATAAACAGATATACATTTTACGCTGTCGCAGTTAGAAAAATCACAGTGGAAAGAAGAATATGGCTTTTTATGTTCAAAGTTCACGGATTAAATAAAAGTTTTCGCAACGATAATTTTATAATTATAATTAACAAAGGAATAATTGCGAAACAATTACAGAGTGTACAGACACTTGCAACTGTATGAAAATAAAATAAAGAGAGAGATCCACGATGGGAGAAAAAGGAACGGTTCTTCCATTGGAATATATCCAAAAATTAGAAAATACTTTATAACGGATGCTATGTTTTAATTGTTTCCCACTATACTTTCGACGCGATCGTTGATCGAATGCACGCGTGTAACAGGATAAAACGCGATGGAAAAGATTTATGTTCGTATTTCACCTCTTTCTCTTTCTCGCGTCACTCCTTTTTCTTCCATTTCGGTTGGAAAAGCGGCGCGAACGAGTAATACAGGATGAAGAAAACGAGATAAAACCCCATGAAACGAGAAGACGATGGAAGAAAGCCATCCGCGAACCCGACATCTCCTCGCTTTGACTTTACGTCTCTCTCTCTCTCTCTCTC